TGAGAGCCTCTCTCATCTACTGCACACATGAAACAGACCAATAACAATGTTTAGCCTTTACAATGACTCCAGAACTTATAATTTCTTGCTGATGGGGCTAAGGACAAACCTAATATTGGAAGAAGAGTTCCTTAAGGCACAAACAAGATGTGGACTTCCAGATTAACCTTTCAGTTCCTTAATTTAAATGCTATTTAGATCTCACCAGATGAACTCATTGTTATGAGATGAGTAGCATGGTCATGACTTTGCTTGCAAAACTGCTCACTATAACAATGTTTAGCCTTTACAATGACTCCAGAACTTATAATTTCTTGCTGATGGGGCTAAGGACAAACCTAATATTGGAAGAAGAGTTCCTTAAGGCACAAACAAGATGTGGACTTCCAGATTAACCTTTCAATTCCTTAATTTAAATGCTATTTAGATCTCACCAGATGAACTCATTGTTATGAGATGAGTAGCATGGTCATGACTTTGCTTGCAAAACTGCTCACTGGATCCTGAATTTTAAGCTCATGGAACGAGGGGTGGCTAGACTCAGCGTTAGTTTTTCTGTTCTTGTACCCCATCTCCACATTCTCACCAAACACTGATGCATAACATTCAAGGGACATAATTTGTGTGTTTCTAGTTTCCAGAGAGGCAACCTTATTAGACAGTTGCAGCAAAAACAATAAAGACTTCAAGATGCCATAAAGCTCTTTATTGTTTTGCTGCAATTGACTAACACGGCCGCCTCTTTGGAAACTGTGAACATAGAAGGTGACAGCCTGGAAGTCATGGTATAGGCAGCATGGCTTCCTCGGACGCAGGGAGTGGGAGTCCATGTTGTCACCATGGACTCCTTGTGTCAGAAGAGGTCTTACTGCCTGCACCATGACTTGTGGACTGTCATCTTGTAGCAATTCATAAGTCAGCCTTCTTTACAGTGGCATAGGCCCACTGTAAGCCTCTCTTCGAGAGACACCTATTATTAGAACTCTTACTGAAATTTCCCTATTCATCCCTATGTGTATTAGGGATTAGTTTTGCTTCCAGTCCCATCTCTTTTTAATACATGTGTGTTATTAAGTTTTTGTAATTTTATCAGTTGCATTTTAATCATTTTAAGCTTATCTATGGAATGTTTAAATACAAAGCAATGTACAGTACATACATATTAATCTGTCTACCTTTTAAACCATTCTAAAACTCTCTATTGTTTTGGGTTTTGTTCACTGTTGGTTTTCTGATCTTATCAAGGCCTTTAAACATAAGATATCTGCTTAATGTTCTCTGGTTCTCTGCCTTTGCTTTATCGCCTTTCTCATCTCTTCATATCCTCCTGTTTGCTTTCTTTCCTGTCATGTGTTTCTCTTTGAACACTCTTCCTTTTCCTGTGTATATGTTGCTTTCTGGAATAATTCTCTCTTACTTGCCCTCTATTCATTACCACTCATCTCTCCTCCATGTTCTTTAAGAGCCACTTCTTCAGTGAAGCCCTTCTTTAAATTTCATTGTGGCATTGATTTCTTCTGTCATGGTCAATTCTGTGAAAATGCTTGAAAACATGAAGGGGAAGCTATGAAAATTATTCTCTGTTCAGTTGTCTTAGAGATGCTTATCAAGATAGCTCATATAACTAGGACCGGATCCCTTCCTATATATATTTTGTGTATTTTTCAGAACAAAGCAATGTCTATGAATTATATATACGAGGCTCAGTTTTTAGAATACAAAAATTACGCTGCTCATACCACCCTTCAGATAGGGACTTATAGCTTCATTTGATCTTAATGATCTAACTGGGTAGCCAAATGCAATTTTCTCCAAATGACACACCTCCAGCTTGCAATCTGTATGCAAGATTGAGCATACAGGCAGATCAAGCCAACATGCCTTTGCTTTCTCCCTTTAGTAGAGAACTGGAGCTTGGAGACAGAACCAGGGTTTCCTTTGCACCTGCTGCTCCAGCTGAATGAAGCAAAGACACACCTCTCAACTTTCCATCTTCAACTCCATACTACCATTGTATTAATTATTTTATGTTGTAATTGTATTACAGTCTGCCCCATGTTGTATATAAGCAATAGAAAAGCCAAAGATCGATCTATAATTAAGAAGTTTCAGAACTTTAGCTAGGTGCAAAACCAAAGTGACCTATCATTCTTCCACCTCCTGTCTCTGGGCAAGGAATGTTCTGAATTCAGAGAAACAGAGCAAGCTTCCCACTCAACTTCTGAACTGGAGGAAGAAGGGAATTTTGTTTTCTTTTCCCATTCCCCAGCTCCAAAAGTAGAACTGGAAAACAGAACTGATTTTCCCTTGACCCAGCGCTATCTTTTAGACACAGGGTTGATACTCAGGGCCTTGGGGAGTAGGAACTTGGTTACTAGGAATTTTTGGTTGACTTCCACCATGGCTATGTAGCACCATGATGGAATCCCATTCCTAGGATGTAGGAAACTGCTCTCTACAAGATCAGAGCATTGGCTTAGCTAGTTCAGGACTGCCTATGCCAACTGGTAGCTCTCCAAAAATTGGCTAGAGTCATACATGATTCTTGTGGGTTATATCTTTTTTTTTTTTTTACATCAAGATAGAAAAGTTGGGAAATGGAACTAAAACTCCTGGCATCCCTTAATATTCGTCACGTTAGCCAGGTCTGCTGGCTTCCAGACAGCCTATGTTCCCTACCCCTACATTACACAATCCAACCTTTTTGTTCCTGCCCCATTTTGTTCCTGCCGCATACAGCAATCATTCTAAGGAAGAAAGTGGGGGGGGGGGGGTGCCTGTGTGCGTGTCACGGTTCAGAAAGGGGGCAGGGTTTCTTTTCTCCCCAACTGTACCCTTCCTCCCAATTTCTGCCCTACATGCTACTTATATTTAGGAGGAAAGAAAATCAGGTCTCTGGTGCCACTCGTAGAGTCATCTTCTTAGCCTGCTTGATGGGTTGGGCCAAGGCCCCAGAGGCCATGGCCTGGATCCACACTTAGGGTAGCAGCTCCCCAGTCCTATAACAGACAAAACTGGGCTGATAAACAGCCTGCATATGTCCCTGGACACAGGCTGCTGGGAACAAGTGGGAACCCCTGCCGTTCCCTCTCCGAAGAAAGCTGCTGTTTCTCAGGAGGAGAAGCTATCAAGTTGCTATGTTAGAACTAGCTGCCTTGGTAACCATTATCTTCACCAGTCTGGGGCCTCATCAGGCTATTTGCAAGCCTTCTAGATTCCTGTGGGTTTCTTAATCAAGCATCTGGCTTCCATCACACTGGACTGTTACTCACTGCATGAATCAGCGGGGCCGGGCATGTGTCTGCAACCTCTTCTTTGCAGGAGTCTTGGAACAGGCAGCCAGGCTGCTCTCCTCCACACCACACACAGTTATACTTGGCATCAGCGGTTTGGCAGCGGCTGCAATCTAAGTGTCCCACCGAGCAGTTGTATAAGGTCACTGAGGAGAAAGAGACATATTGAGATGGGCATTAGTGGGGTCTCTACAACAATTCTTTGGATACAGAAACCAAGTGAGACAAGAAACACAAGGGATCTAGCAAGCTATTGTCTTCCTTCCTCCCCACCTCCCTCCCTCCCCTCCCTTCTCATTAAACCCAGATAGGCCACATATTTTGATAGGCCTATCAAAATCTCTTCTTCAACATCTCTACCAGCTCCCAGTTCATTGCAGAAAGAACTCAGTCACCTGCAGGGAGCTTCATCAAGGCAGATCAAAGTATGACTAGAAACTGCCACAACTCTGTTTTTTTATAAAACAAAGAATGTTTTGTGTATGGCTGCCCCAGGGTTGTTGTTATCAAGCCATGATAACCCTGTGCCCTTTCCCTGTACCATGGAGATCTTCAACACTGTCCACACGGAGATGCCGTTTCCGCTGCACGAAAATTACCACACTGAATTCTAGTTGGGGAGCCGAGTAGCTGTACTGAAAAAGAGACACCCAAGTATTAGTCTTGGAAGATATTTAAGAGTATGTTATTGGTGTTTTTTAGAAAAATAAAGAAGGAAAAACAATATTGGATCCAAAGGTTGCCTTCAAAATTATAAAAAGAATGTATTTTTCGTTTTCCCTTCATACATTTTATGATTTTTGTGCCCAGGGAAAATAAGTGCGCTGCCTGAGTCCCAACGACTGGGCGGCTCACAGTCAAAGAAATTACAATAACACTGATAAAAGATGGCGAGCACGACAGGCTGGATGGAATGAAGCGAGGGGTCTCGCTCTCCCCCACCCAATGCCTGGGTGAAAAGCCAGGTCTTGATGGTTCTTCTAAACAACAGCAGAGTGGGGGGCATCCAGATCTTGGGGGGAACCTTGTTCCAGAGGGCAGGCACAACTACAGAGAAAGCGCACTTCTGGGGTCCTGATAGATGACATGGTTTAATCAAAGGAACCCGAAGCGCAGCAACCGCACAAGGTGGATTGGCTGGGCAGATACTATGGGAGACAGGCGGTCCCTCAAATATGTAGGGCTTTGTAGGGAGCGACCAGCACTCTGAATCACACCTGGAAGCAAACCGGCAACCAGCGCAGCCCACGAAGCAGAGGTGTTATATGGGCATACCGAAACATGTTCATCACTACTCGCACCGCTGCATTCTGGAACAGCTGAAGCTTCTGGGTGGCCTTCAAGGCCAGCGCCATGTAGAGCGCATGTATTATGCAATTACAAGCGTTATGATTTGTATAAACTTGTACAAACACATCCTTGTAATTTGTAGCATGCAGTAGAGCTGGGCTTCTACTGCATGCTATTTCTTTCACTCTCTGCTGCAGTGCAGTTTTCGGTTTGGTTTGGTTTTTTCTTCCTCCTAACCATCAGACTGGTGTGTGCCTGTTGAATATACACACTGAACTGATATTATGAGCACCCCTGCTTAGGATTTTTTTTCCCCTGAAAAGTGTTTGTATTCCTTGGATTTTCCTCTTGGTGTATCAATGATGTCATCAATAATAACAGGAGTCCTTGGAAAGAATATTGGAATTCTGCCTCGGGCTTTTTTGGTTCCTGCTTTTTGCTGTTGAGATTTTAAAAATAAAAATCAAACAGTGTAGGATTCTTTCTATTGTTAATTGGTTTCCAGATAGTTTGAATGTTCCTTTTTAAATTTGATTTAGATAATTTTAACACCCATCTTTTTGCTTTTTACCAATTATTTCAGCTGACAGAAACATCTGGAGTAGTGTGAAGGATCACTCCTCTTAGCTACACTTAAATGACTTTGGGTAATCTCAGAAAACTAGTAAACCTCCTTTTCATGTCTGGATGGAAGAACACCAAGAAATCCCAGAGCTGCAGGCTAGATTAGGAAGTCAAAATTGCACCCTGGCAGAAAATGGCACACAACTTCCACACTATTGTCAGAGAGATGGATGTGACCAGGAGTTGACTCTGGCTCAGTCAAGACCATCTTTCGTTACTCCGTCAGTTTAGCTAGGACCAGCCTTCCTTCTCCACAATTTTTCCATCACTGAATATTCCAGCTGGTCTCTGAGCATTTACTTGTTTTCCTGTCTCTCCCCCATTTTATTTCCCTTTGCATCTTGGCTGTTAGATGCCGAAGAGGTGAAGCAACGTATTTCTGACAACAGTTCTTTACGAACATAGCCACCCTTCTTTGGCTATATTTTGGCAGCCATCCAGAGCCACCCAAAGGGTGGCCTTTAAAAATAATCAAATAATATGCATGGATACATACATTGAGACCAAAGCTAGGGGAACCCTGGGAGCAGGCTCTGCTCCCATGAAGCCCTTACCTGATCCAACTGGCATGTGATGTAGCAAATCGAGGGGTCATTTTCATCTTGTTCAATATAAGCCTCCACTGACAAAGTTTTCCCCTCCAGAACCAAGGCGCATTCATAGTCCCAAAGCTGGTCCTTGAAGAAGAAAGAGAAGCTGAGCTGATACTTATGAATGGATATTCCTGGCCCCCTCTCCAAACTTTCCCTGTCCCTCTTCAGGTCCTTTTGAGCCAGCCTTGGGCAAATGCATCAGTGTTCACGGTCCAGGACATTTAGACTATTTCAAACCCAGGTTGGTTCCATCCCATTTCCAAATCACTTTGCAAAGTTTGTAATGTTTGTACATGCATGTCTAGAAAGGCTGCACATACATTTTCATTCCTATTGCTTTATTTATGCAATTTCCCCTAACGCGCACATATTTTTTGCAATTTATCTCCCAAAGATACACTTTTTGTATACTATTTCCCTGTGTGATTAGTCTACGATGAATCCTATGGCAATATAATCATTATGGGGAAGATGAACAGTGACACATTGTACATTCTCTTCTTCCATGTCTTCACCTTTTTTTTTTTAAACTCCTAGCGTTTTTCTGCCGGTGCAGGGTCCTCTTTTTCTGGTCAACTAAATGTTGATCTGTTGGTTGCAACAGGAATTTACTGACCAGCTTGTTGCCTGAGCCTGACGTCATGGGCTGAGGGAGAATGGCTGGCCCAAAGTCACCCAGCCGGTTGCTTTCAGGCTTAAGGTGGGACGAGAGCTCACAATCTCTTGGTTTCTAGCCTGGTGCCTTCACCACTATACCAAACTGGCTCTCAAACTTCCACGTCTTCCCTGTTTGTGTTATTTAATTTGGGGTTTCTTTCCCATCCCTTTTGAAAATGTTTTTACATATAAGTATCAACAATTAATTTATTAGATATGACCATGTTAGTTAGTTTAAGGTTCTTTTACCTAACTTATATTAACTTATTATATTATATTAACTTATAACTTATTATTGTATACCATTTGAGATAGCTTTAACTTACGAAGTTATTTACAGAATAAATAAAACATCACAATAATTCACAATCACCCAGCCCACTTAGACTGCTTTTTAATGCAGCACAATTTTTGTCCCCTTCTATGTAGTATGGAAGATAGATGTGACTGGACAGCTGTGAATTGACCCGATACCTGATATCAGGTGCACATACCTGTTTCTTTAAATATGAATGTTTCTCAATCATGCACTAATACATGTGGGAATCCAGTCCAAGGAGCAAAGGGAGTGGAGGGGTGAAGGGCACCTTTCTGCCTGATTTCTTCCAGATCCCTCTTCCTCTAATACTTATTTCTCAACTGAGCTAAGAAAAAGGTGACATCAAAGGGGATAAACAAGAAAAGAGAATCCAAGAATTTGGTACCTAGGAGCTAGACAGACCTGGATTTAAATAGTCAGAGCTTATCTTCAATTGTAAGAGTTTTCAAAGTTCTTCACTGTTATTTTTTTTTGGCCAAAGCAATTTCCCATACTTTTATGGTCACTTTCACATTTCTTTCCTTCCTTCTTTGATGTTATGCTTATATAGGTAGTCCTCACTTAACGACAGTAATTGGGACCAGAATTTCCATCCCTAAGCAATGCGGTCATAAAGCATGATGTCACATGACCACATCGCTTAGAGACGGCAATCTCGGCAGTTCCTGTTGCCGCTGTTAAGTGAGAATTGCGGGTTGTTAAGCGAGGATGTCTTTGCAATTTCCTACTGGCTGCCCACAACCAAAGTCAGTGGGGAAGCTGGCAGGAAGTTGCAAGTCCCAGGCGGCTTGCAAGCAGGCTGGCAGGCAGGTAAATGGATGCTGCCAGATGGGGGAGGTGCACGGGTGGCTGCAGTGGTACACACAAGTGATTTCAGGCCCAAGGGTGGCTGCTGCCAGGTGGGGGGAGAATTACCTGATCGACCTGTGATCTTCCCTGCTGGTTTGCCCATTGAGTTTGCTTGTGGGAAACCTGCAGGAAAGGTGGCAAATGGTAACCATGTGACTATGAGGTGCTGCAACTGTCATAAGTGAGAGCCAGTTGCCAAGTGTCCAGATCACGATCACATGACCATGGGGGTGGTGTGATGGGTGGAATTTTGAGGACCAGTCCTAAGTCCCACTCGTTCAGTACCGTCACAACTTTGAACGGTTGCTGAACGAGTGGTCGGTAAGCAAGGACTACCTATATAGCATTTGCTCTTAAAGGAAACAGAGCAGAAATACACTTCATAGTTCATCTCTCCTTCCATAGTTAGTAAGAATGGAATCCACAGAACTAATATTGTAGCAGGAGTAGGACAGTCATAGAAAAGGTGTAAATAGTGGTGTCCTGGTAAATGTTTAAGAACTGGCTCTGCTGGCTCCATTTCTACCATGTGCTGCACCGCTAGTGCAGAACAGCTGATTGGCAGGCTAGGCTCAGCTCTGCATTCAACCAGTTGGCACAATTCCAGAAAATTTAACAATTGGCTCTCACGAGTTGGTGCAAGCTGGCTCCAGCCCACTACTGGGTGTATGCCATCCAGACATCACAGCATCATAACACGCCCACCCACCCCCTGACCCATTGCCCCAGTCTTGCCTGATAGAGGTGGAAGTTTTGTCCAATCAGGGTGATCTTTCTCTGCACATTGACTGGCATCAGAGAGGATCCCTGGATGCCCCTCACACAGGGGCAGGCTTCGGGCCCCCAGCTGTACTCCTCTGTCTGAAAGCACACAAACATGCTGAAGACAGTAAAAGATGATTCTGCCCAGTTTGCTGTGATTAAAACAACAGGGCATGAGCAAAACATTGAAACTACAGTGTCTTACAAAAACAGAGAAAGCAGAAACAGGCCATAGAACAGATTAAATGTCTGGGTAAACACAGTGGTAACATATCTTTCTCTTGTCAATACATAATCAGGGTGATCTTTCTCTGCACATAGATATCTGGAGAAGAGTCCCACCATCACTACCACCATCACCACGTGGCAGCCTGGGGTTCTTCAGAAAAGCTCTCCTGTCTAAAAGGTTCTATTACAGTCCAATTCTACAAACAGATGTAGATGTTTTCCTGCTTGCCATGGGCCTAGCTTCTGCGGGATTATCTGCCTTACAATGAACCTGTCCAGTTACTAGGTTGTGGAGGAGAAGCCCTTTCAAATGAATGATGATTCACAGACGACTAACTTTGGATCTAAAGAGAAGGACTCCTTCCACATCACTCCCCAAATTGTGGAATACAAGTTGGGGAATGTTCTTCTCCCGTCATTTGGCTTTGGGGAGAAAAAAAATCAAGATGAATCTTTTTAATTTGCCCTCATTAAACTGATAACAATTGATTTAAGATACACTTGGTGAAAGATTTATATGATCTGAAGAGAAACCAGAGTATTAAAAATACGCTCGGCTACAAACACTGTATTTCTATACCTACAAACATCAGGATTGTGCAAGCCATGCTATTTCCTGTGACACTCTATAGAAGCGAAAGTTGGACTCTGAAGAAGCAGGAAAGGGAGAGTATTGATGCTTTTGAACTTTGGTGTTGGAGAAGACTCCTGAGAATACCGTGAACAGCCAAGAAAACAAACCGATCGATCATCAAACAAATGAACCCAGAGTTCTCACTCAAGGCACAAATGACAAGGCTCAAATTATCCTATTTTGGATACATTCTGTGAAGACCTAGTTCTCTGGAGAAGGGTCTAATGTTGGGAAAGGTGGAAGGAAATCCACCACAGAAGGATATCTGCAGACTCTTCTCATCCTGGATATAATCTGTTCCAACTTCTTCCTTCGGGACGGCGCTATAGAGCTCCATA